ATATGTCAATCAATGGAAGGGAAACTGATGTGATACAGCAATTTGTATACGGGGTAAAAGCGGGAGTTCATAATCCACGTGAATCAACTGTGTAATATGATGTATTAAGAACTATGTAATGTTATGAACGACCAATAAAAAAAAAATAAATAAATACATACGTATATAAAAAAAAATAAAAATGCTGAACCATATAGTGGATAGTTGATACTTTTGATTAATAGATGGATCTATAATTTATGAAAAATAAGGACCTTAAAACTACACAGTGGAACTGATATTTTTAGTACTTTCTGTGTACCAGATACTGTGCTAAAGGTTTAATATCATTTGTTTCATTTAAATATTTATAGAACCCTGAAAGTTATTTCTCACCTTTTAATGATCAGGTATATATTTTCTTTTTCTTTATTCTTTTTAGTTATACATGGCAGTAGAATGTATTTTGACATATCACACATACATGGAGTATAACTTCCCATTCTCGTGGTTGTACATGATGTGGAGTTACACTGGTTGTGTATTCATATATGAACATGGGAAAGTTATGTCTGATTCATTCTACTGTCTTTCCCATTCCCATCTCCTCTCACTTCTTCCCATTACCTTCCATCTCCCTTCTCAAATCTGGTGAGTGTCCACTTCCCCCCAACCCCCATCATGAGTCAGCATTCACAAATCAGAAAGAACATTTGGCCTTTAGTTTTTTTGGGGATTGGCTTATTTCATTTAACATACTGGCAAATGCCATAATTTCATTCTTCTTTGTGGCTGAGTATGCCCTTGTGAAGATATACCACATTTTCTTTATCCATTCATCTGCTGAAAAGTATGAATTGAGCTTCATTGAACATTGAGGTGGCTGTGTCATGGTGGTATACTGATTTTAAGTCCTTTGTGTGTATACCGAGACATGGTATAACTGGATCAAATAGTGATTCCATCCCAAGTTTTCTGAAGACTCTCCATACTGTTTGCCAGAGTGGTTGCAACAATTTGCTTTCCTACTGACAATGTGTGGTGTAACTTTTCCCCCACATTCTTGCCAAAATTTATTGTTACTTGTATTCTTATAATTGTCATTCTGCCTGGAGTGAGATGAAATCTGTGTAGTTTGAATTTGGATTTCTGTAATTGCTAGAGATGTTGAACGTTTTTTTAAAAATATATTTGTTGACCATTTGTATTTCTGTGAAGCGCCTGTTCAGTTTTTTTTTTTTGCTCACTATTTATTGGGTTATTTGGGTTTTTTTTGGTGTGAAGTTTATTGAGTTCTTTATATATCCTGGAGATTAATGTTCTATCTGAAGTGCAGATGGCAAAGATTTTCTCTCATTCTGTAGGCTTCTCTCTTCATGTTCTTGATTGTTTCCTTTGCTGTAAAGAAGCATTTTAGCATTTTAGTTTGATACAAATCCATTTTAATTTGATACAATCCCATTTATTGATTCTTGATTTTACTTCTTGTACTTTCGGAGTCATGTTGAGGAATTTGGTTCCTAAGCTGACATTATGGAGACCTGGGCCTACAATTTCTTCTAGTAGGTTCAGGGTCTCTGGTCTAATGCCTAGGTCCTTGATACTCTTTGAATTGAGCTTTTTGCAGAGTGAGAGAGAGGGATCTAATTTCATTCTACTACATTGTGGATTTCCAGTTTTCCCAGCACCATTTGTTGAAGAGCCTTTCTTTTTTGGCACTTTTGTCTAGTATGGGAACCGAATTTGTGGGTTTGTCTCTGTGTCTTTTATTCTGTGCCATTGGTCTTTGTGTCTGTTTTGGTGCCAATGCCATGCCTTTTTTGTTACTGTAGCTCTATAGTATAATTTAAGGTCTGGTATTGTGATGCCTCCTTGCTTCACTTTTTATTTTTATTTTTTAGCTTTTTTAGCTTTATTTTTATATCTTCATTAAATGTATTTAATTCCATACAGATTACTTTCAAACCTTTTTAAAAGAACTAAGGTTATCTACTTGTTTCAACAGCCTTGCCACCGTTCTTTTTCCACTTTAATTATGGAATAATAATGATTTTACAATTCTCTGCCTAGGATATTTGGGATTTAATTTTCTCCAGTAATTGACTTTAGGATCCAAAGAAGAGAAAACAAATAGCCAGAAGCAATATAAACAAAGCCTTATACTTTGGGTATAGATGGATCTGCCTGGTTCTCAAGTACTGACACTTCTCTAAACATCAGTGAGTTCAAATCATATCCATTCTTATTATCACGTTCAGTAGTGCAAGTGTGGGATATACTGATACCTAAGATAAAAAGAAAAATTAGGTCTTTTATACTTTTTGTCTTGTACTTCCTTCCCACAGACCTAAAAAAAAGTCCTATGAGCAAAGCAAAACCACAGAATTACTCTATGAGGCATTTCCAGTGACGAGTGGCTCTAAGAGAAGCTCCATTGGGAAGAAGACCTCAACCTGTTTCACTTTTCTTGCTGAGGATTGCTTTGGCTATCCTGGGTCTCTTATTTTTCCAAGTGAATCTCATGACTGCTTTTTCTATTTCTATGAAGAATGTCATCAGAATATTAATAGGAATTGCATTAAATCTGTATAGCACTTTTGGTAGTATGGTCATTTTGACGATATTAATTTTGTCTATTTAAGAACAGGGGAGATCTTTCCAATTTCTAAGGTCTTCTTCAATTTCTTTCTTTGGTGATCTGTAGTTTTCATTGTACAGGTCCTTCACCTCTTTTGTTAGAATGATTCCCAAATATTTTATTTATTTGAGGTTATTGTGAATGAGATAGTTTTCCTAATTTCTCTTAGGTGATTCATCACTCTCATGCAGGAATGCAATTGATTTATGGGTGCTAATTTTATATCCTGATACTTTTAGGAATTCATTTATGAGTTCTAGAAGTTTTCTGGTCTTCTAAATATAGAATCATGCCATCAGCAAATAGGAATAGTTTGAGTTCTTCTTTTCCTATTTGTAATGATGAAGTATCTTAGTTTCAGAAATAAGTGAGTTGTGTGAGATGTCATTAGTAAGATTTGATTATTTTTTATTACTCCAGAAATATATTTCTTCGGCCTCCATAAATTGTTGTTAACCTGGAAAAAAATTTACAATTGTGAGCATTTTAAATGTATAATTTAGTGGTGGCATGCCTAGGTAGTATTGAATCTAAGAAGAGGATATGTCCTATCTTTTTTTGCTTTTGTCAGATTAATACTTTACATTAGTATTTCTAAAATGTATTTACATGATATTTCACTGTTGGCTAAATACTTTGAATATACATCCATTCCTCTATATCCATGGGAATTGGTTTTAGGACCTTCTGCAGATACCAAAATTTGAAGATGCTCAAATTCCTTATAGAAAAACAGTGTAATGTTTGCATATAACCTGTGCACATCATCCTGTATACTTTAAATCATCTCTAGATTACTTATAATACCTAATATAAGTATATAATTCTTATATTAAGAAATAATGGCAAGGGAGTGTGTATATTTTCAGCACAGATACATTGTTTAAAAATATTTTCACCCAGAGGTTTGTTCAATCTGTGGATGTAGAGGTATGTGTCATTTAATCTTCAAAAAATTCTATTGTGTGGGTTCTCTTAGTATTTCAACAAAGAAGAAACCCATTTAGAAATCAGATGGCATACCCAGATTCACACCGCTATTAATTCAGTCAGAGAGAAATTTGAACTTGTACTTTAAACACCATGTTTAGTACTCTTTCTCTTGTAAGGAAGATAGATTGTACATAGACATGGAATGCAATGCTAATTAATGTTAACCAGAAAACATGAACATATTCTTGTGGTATAAAGTAGACTTGAAGAACTAACTCATTTTCAGCTAGAAAACAAATTTTCATCTCTTTTAATATATTTGTAGAGCAGTGTATCCCTAAATTTCTGATGACTCCTACAGAGGTGTGTGTGTGTGTGTGTGTGTGTGTGTGTGTGTGAATGTTTTTTTAAGTGTCTAGGATTTTTTTTACTAGAATTTTATAACTATGTGTTTCATTTTAGTAATAATCTAATGTTATACATTCTGATTCATCTGAATGAACACTTCTGTTATGGGATTTTATTATCTATATTATTGGCATTGGGATTGTGTTGGTGCCAAGTTATACTCCTTTAATTGTTTCATGTTCATGGGAAAACAGCAGGGACAGACTTAACACATGGACAGTATAATTAGATTGGAGCCTATGAAGGCAAAATCATGTCAGAGAAGGCTGTAGGAATGAAAGTTTAAAATAGTTCATATAAAGAAAAAAATAGTAGAGTAATTGAGTGATTCATACAGGTCTCTCCAGATTGATGATGATGATGATGATGATGACGACGACGATATGATTATGGTGAAGTTAATACTTATTGGTTACTTGCTTTGTTTAAGTTACTATTCTGTTCAGTTTATAAATATTAGCTCATTAATAATAGCCCTATGAACTAAGAAAAATAATTTTTGTTTCCCAATTTTTTGAGGAATAACTTGTGTCACAAGTCTTAGTTATAGTTAGAGTACAAGTGGTGATTTATTAATAAAATGGCACCATCTGCCATGTTAAGTTGCTGCTGATAATTTAAATATTATGAGTTTTTCCCTAACTTGTTTCTATTGAACTTACAAATTTGTTTGGTTTTTGGAGTTGCTTAAGAACTCTAGGTAAAGGCTGGTTTTTATGTTTTTTAAATGTTTAAGAAATATGATGATGAGAATAATTTATTTCTATCTTCAGGGAAGTCCATGAGAATTTCTTTTTTCTTTCTTCATCTTTAAAAAGGGGATCTGATTCTTTGGTTTGGAAGACATTGCTGGGGCATACCATAACTACTCTATTCTACTCTGCCCTCTGTTGTCCTCTATCATAGTGGCATGCTACTTCTTAGATCTAGAGACTGAAATAGTGGACTCTACACTTTAAAAAAATTTTTTTTAGTTGTTGATGGACCTTTATTTTATTTGTTTATTTATATGTGATCCTGGGAATCAAATGCAGTGCCTCACACAAATGAGACAAGTGCTCTACCTCTGAGTTACAACTCCAGGCCCTGGACTCTACACTTTTTGATAATGTTAGTAAAATCATTTTGAGCATATTCATAAATTTTTATTTGTATATTTAATTGTAAATTGTGTACTTACATTAGGATACTAATTATAATGTATATGCAAAATCAGAAATTATAACATATTAAACCATCTAAATAGATATTACATTTTTTCCTTTTCAGATTTCCCTGTGCACACATAATTCATTTTGGAGACTGTTACTATAGAAGACAGAGTTAGTTTAAGTCAGAAGATTAGATTTTGTTTCTGATGCCAATGGATAGGCCAAGTCATTTCTTGTACCTGACTCTGTTTATTTTTAAAATTTGAATTCCATAGGCTATTTTTTTTCTGGTAAACAACTTAAAAACTTTGCTCTTTCTTAAAATACTAGGATTTTAGGCAATGCCTAGTGTAAATATTAATTGTAGGAATTAGGCACTTGGACATAATCCTAGCCAACACTACCTACATTTTACTTGAGATGGATTAACTCCTTGGAGTTTTTAGCAAATGATGTTTCTGCAATTCTGATTATCTATGGAATTGTCAAATTGTGAAACATTGGGGGATAAATGAAGTTAAATAGACTTCTTCAAGGAGGTTTTAATATATTAATATGTAGTGCAAATCTCCAAAGGAGAGATAAAAGTATGTGATTTCATGAAATCAGAGTTCTACAGAACATTTTTTGAGAAAGTCTTTTTCTTAGATTTTTTTTTTGTGTGTGTGGGGGTCATAGTGGTATAGCAGTTGAGGACTTTGACTTTAAGGTTAGGCCTGTATTTGAACTCTGCTTCATTTTAACTAGCTTGGACAAGTCATTTAAGCTTTCTAGGCCTTAATTTGTTGTTTTTTTTTAACCTGTAAAGCAAAAATGATATATGCTGATATTTACTGAGTATTTCATTTCACCTTCAGAGAAAGTTTATGAAATAGATTTTCTCATTATTTTCATTTTATAGATAGATGTGGAAAGTAAGGAACAAAGATTATGCAGCTTTTCCAGTGTCATTCAGCTTATAAGTAGCAAAGTAAAAACTCTAATTCAGGCTGGGCGTGGTAGCACATGCCTGTAATCCCAGCAGTTAAGGAGTCTGAGGCAGGAGGATTGGGAGCTCAAAGCCAGCCTCAGCAACAGTGAGGTACTAAGCAACTCAGTGAGACCTGTCTTTAAATAAAATACAACATAGGGCAGGGCTGTGGCTTAGTGGCTGAGGGCCCCCCGAGTTCAATTCTTGATGCTGCCCTCCCACCACCAAAAAACAATCCAATTCAGGTAGTCTGACTCTAGAACCTGTGCTTGTAAGTATTGCTCTATAAAACTGTCATGTTGAGTTATTGTAGAGTTATGTCATGTAAGTATTAACACAGTGCCCAATGAATAGTGGGTACTTAACAAATGGTAGTTATTGTGTCCTTTTAGATGAGTACCCACCTTGTTATCCTGTAAAGTGATCCTTGACACAAATGACTCTTTATTGAATAAAGTTGGAAAAACTTCACAGGTAGACAGACAGTGGGGGAAGGGTAACAGAAGGATAGCAGAAGGTAGGGCAGCAGAAGCATCAACCCAGGCTAGTTCTCAGGATTGGAAGTACTCTTTCTACTCCTGAAGCTTACCTCACTGACTCGTAGGCCCTCTTCTGTTAAGGAAGCAAGAACACTGTCAGGCAGAAGTGGCCAATTAATTCAAAGGAAGGTGATATGTTCTAGGATCTTTCTACTGTCTCAAAAATGATCCATGTGAGATGTACTGCCCCCTAGAACCAGTCAGAGCCCATTCAGAAGATAATATTCTACTTAAACAAAAACAGGCATCCAGGCAAATAAAACAACAGAAAAACCTTTTCCTAACATGGCATTGATTATCTGTGCCATGCAGTCAAGTAGGTACTTTCAAGAACTTTGCTTTGGTACTTCCATAATTTAGGGTTAAGATATGGGTCTGATATCATTTTTGAATAGCTCACACAAGGGAATCATCAAACTTTGCAACAGAGAGCACTTTATTAAAATTTCCATACAACTACAAAATGACAAAAATTAAGTTTGTGCTTTTTAATGAGGCCTTCTCCTATTCTCCCAAACTTACTCTTTTGCTCCTCTATTGTCTGCTCTGACATGTGGAAAAGGAAAAAGGTAGGTGCTTTTGCCATTTGGGGGAAGTGTGGGATCTTTCGTTTAAAATTGCTCTTATGTGTGTTTTGCTTTTTTGGCCTGTTTATATAACTGTAAGAAGCCAGAAGCCAGTGAAAACAAAAATCATGAAAATATCCATGAGACGTGCAGAAGCAGCCTCCTTGAACCATAAACAAGCTCAGCTGCAGGAAGATCTGTGGTCTGATACTCATTACTGAAAAACTTCCACTGGATGGACAGTTTGT